GCCGCCGTGGGGCGTCGGGAAGCGGACGCGCCGGCAGGGTTCGTCTGGGGTCAGCCCCTTTTCCTCCTCCTCCTGCTCGTCCTCCTCTTCCCTCTTCCGTTCTCCTTCTCCTCTCTCTCTCCTCCTCCCTCATGTTCTCCCCAGGGCCGACGCCGGCCCGGGTGCCATCCAGGGGGTCGTTTGGGGATCGCCCATGCTCCTCTTCATCCTCTCCTCCTCGTCCTCCTCCTCCCCCTCCTCCTCCTCCTCCTCCTCCTCCTCCTCCTCCTCTTCCTCCATCCTTTTACACACCTAAGGCCTCCTAGTCGTGACCCCAGCCGTGTCGGTAGTGCGGGCTGGGCGTTTCTCTTGAGACTTCCGCATCCTGCATGAGATTTCCTCATCAGGTATGATTGTGTTTTTTCAAGCAGTGGCTCTTGCTTGAGCGCCGCGGACAGTCGTCTTACAAGCTTGTTGCATTTTCAAAGATTGAGGGCGGCTCGTTTTCAAAGTGTTGATCTCGTTTTAGTTCCGCGGACATTCAGTTCCGCGGATATTCGCCTCACACTTTTGCAGCAGTTTCAGGGATTGAAGGTGGTTCGTTTTCAAACTGTTGCTCTCGCCGCAGCGCCGTGGACACATGTACGTAACACAAGCTTGCAACGGCTTGAAGGATTCGCTTTGTTGAAGTCCCAAGATCGGCATTCGATGCTTATCCAATTACTTTTGTGATCCGTGTTGGAATCCCAGGAACCGTGTTTTGGCTTTGTTTGTGGTTCCCATGCATTTGTCTTCCAATGAGGCGCCTCCAGCAATGAACATACATTCTTGCAGGGACCCATGGAGAAGGAACTTGGATGGAGAGTTGATTGCAATCCCGTATGCGCGTCTTGGGTTTACACTTCTCATCTTCCCTCTCCCTCCCTTCCTCCCTCCTTTCCTTCTCCCCCTTCCCTTCCCCTCCCCTTCCTCCTCTTCACCCCTTTCCTTTTCCTGCCTCCCTCCTCCCCCTCCTCCACGCACAAATGAGCACTGGGGGGGGGGGGGCTCCATCAGGGGGAGGAGCAGAAGCAGAGGAGGAGCGCTGGGCGCTCCTGCGCTCTTTTGAAGACGACCTGGCGTTTTTTGTCGGCTCTCTGGCGATGTGGGCCTCTCGGGGGCGGGGCCGCGTCCTTGCCTCGAGGCCTGCCGAGTAAGCGGCCCACTTCGCGACGGGACGGGGCGGGCAGCGAAGAGCCCCGCCGGCCTTTCGACGACCGTCGAAGAAGCATGCCGGGTGGAGGGAGAGAGCGGAGGAGCACAGTCGACCCGCACGCGCAGTGAGGATAAGGCGACGTTCCAAGGTTGCCATCGCGTCCTCTCCCTGCGGCCCATCTTTGGCCGTTCTCTCGCTGGCCGCGCCTCGCTCGCAGAGTGCTGGCATGGCCTCCCAGGGCCCCTGCATCCTTCTCGCGCGTGTCCTTGTTATACGGGCTGCCTGTACCCTCTCTCTCCTCTTCCCTTCGACCTGCGACCTGCGGACTTTGGTCTCCAGGAGGGCACTCCTCTCCCCTCCTCCTCCCCGGGTGGGGAAAGGGGGGAGGGAGAGGGGGAGGTGTGGAGATGGCAGCTGCATCGCGCTAAACCTTCAGAGGTTCGCGCGGACTCCTTGGGATCGGCGCTGGACCCCGCCCCCGGCGCGTTCCGCGCGCCAGGTGAGTGGGTGTGGGGGTCAGCGACGATCTAGGAGATCTGCGCGGACCTCCCTCTGGTCATGTTTATCCTGCTCTTCCTTTGCCCACATTCTGTCAGGAACTAAGCGTGTCGCGCCACCAGCTCTGGCCAACCACGCTTCGGCGCGACACGCTGACCTCGCCCCAGTCCCAAAGAGTCAACGTCCCAAGTCTTCCCCAGCCTCCCGCCCCGCGGAGCGGAGCGACTATCGCGTGTCGCCAGGACCGCCGCCGCGATGCGCCAAGCAAAAGTTCACGACCGTCGGCCTCTGGACCACCAGGGGTGTGCACAAGAAGCCTGCCGCCGTCCAACTCCAGCAGTAGGTGCACCCGACGAGGCCAGGCGTTCCAGCCGGGGCCTCGCCCTTGAGGCCTCGAGAGGTGGACACCTCTTCTCGGCGGGCGGCCTGCGGACGCCTGGCGGAAATCACAGACAGGAGCGTCCGTCGGCGGAGGCCGGCGGAGGTAGCAAGCGTGCCTCCAAGAGGTGGCGGCATCTCTTGGGTCAGGGCTTTCGGAGCCGGCCAGTGCTCCACCGCCAGAAGGCCGTCGAAGACCGGCCCAGGCCCCAAGGCCCGGGGCTGGCACGGGGGCCGTGGTCGAGTGCGTTTCGCCATCCGTCCTCTACCCTGCATGGCTTTGCCGTGGCACTCGTGGGGCCCTTTTATTCCTGGTGGCCCCGCGAGGAGGAGGAGGAGGAGGAGGAGGAGGAGGAGGAGGAGGAGGAGGAGTAGGAGGAGGAGGAGGAGGAGGAGGAGGAGGAGGAGGAAGAGGAGGAGGAGGAGGAGGCGGGGGAGGAGGAGGAGGAGGATGGATGGATGGATGGATGGATGGATGGATGGATGGATGGCGTCCCCCCGCTGGGGCGGCATTCGGAAACCCCTTTCTGCAGGGGGCAGCGGGCCCAGGGGAGGGCGACGCGAGCGACCCTGCAGCGACCAGGCGGAGGCCCTCTGCTGGAACCTCTCACATGGTTGACAGCTAGGTGGGCGCCTCGGCCTGACCGCAAGGAGTGGGGTGGACCAAGCGGGCCGCCGACAGCGTACGGTTGCCCGCGCTTGCGGCTCAGCCCGATTCCCCAACCGCTGCACCTGTCAGCGCACGGCGAGGAGACGCAAGTGCGAGACTCCGGCAATGGAGGGGGGAGGGAGCCACCCCGGGGGAAGCGGCATCCCTGTCTGAGCCCCGCCTCAAACCCGGCCCGTCCCAGGACCAGCCATCGTGGCTGCAGGAGGCTGGGGGGGCGGGAGGGACGGCCAGGAGGGAGGCCAGAAGTCTTTTTTGCGCGAAATCCTCCGCCGTCCCCCCAAGCCACTGAGCCAAGGACACCGCCTGGGGGTATCCCGGTTCTCCCGGCAGCACGCTGGGCATGGCCTGCGCCGCGGCCCCGCGAGAGGGCGGCTCGGGGAGGCCACGCGCGGCCCAGAAGGCAGCCCTGCCGTCCTGGGTGCGACTGCAGCTGCCGAGGACGTGGAAGAGCGGACTTAGGACTTGGCCTCGACAGAAGACGCATGCCTTCCGCCGAGCCCTCGACGGTGCCCCGGAGGCATGGCATAGTGCCAGCAGCCGGCACCGCAGGCGGCTGAGAGACCTCTGGCCCGCAAGCATTGCGCCCGGAGCTGCCTGCAAGCGAGGAGGGAGGAGGCAGGAGGGAGGAGGGAGTGAGGGAGGGAGGGAGGGAGGAGGGTGTGAGGGAGGGACGGGGGTAGGGAGGGAATGAGGGAGGGAGGGAGGGAGGGAGGGAGGTAGGAGGGAGGGAGGGAGGGAGGACGGAGGGACGGAGGGAGGAGGAGTAGGAGGAGTAGGAGGAGTAGGAGGAGTAGGAGGAATGGAGGAGGAGGAGGAGGAGGAGGAGGAGGAGGAGGAGGAGAGGAGGAGGAGGGAGGAGGAGGAGGAGGAGGAGGAGGAGGAGGAGGAGGAGGAGGTAGGAGGGAGGAGGGAGGAGGGAGGGGGAGGAGGGAGGAGGGAGGAGGGGGAGGGGGAGGGAGGGAGGGAGGGAGGGAGGGAGGGAGGGAGGGAGGAATGGAGGGAGGGAGAGGAGGAGGAGGGAGGAGGAGAGAGGAGGAGGAGGAGGAGGAGGAGGAGGAGGAGGAGGAGGAGGAGGAGGTAGGAGGAGGAGGAGGAGGAGGAGGAGGAGGAGGAGGAAGAGGAAGAGGAAGAGGAGGAGTAGGAGTTACGGAGCGACGGATATTGCGACTCTGTCGGTTACTTAAAGGGCTTTCACTGATCTTTGCAGTAATCTTTTGGCCAGATCCCCCGATCAAAATTACGCAAGTAAGATGCACGATTACCTTTGGCTCTGTCAACGCACCTCTTGCCGAGCTGGGCCAACAGTTGGGCCGCAAAGCTCCCACAGGTACCACATAACCAAATCACCAGCCCAGCTTGAAACTGGATAGAATGGGACTCATCAGCCCACCCCCCACAAATGTGCTCTTTGCAACGGGGGGTGGCTTGAAAACAACGCCATCTATTGCCCTCAGGTTAGGTCAAAGCACGGGGTATCCAACCGAAGCTTTCGCCTAGCTTTCGACGTGGAGCTCCTACGCTTCAAACAAAGAGACCGTCTTCAGACAGCGAGTGATCAGCAGCAAACTCCTTGCAAACATGCGCGGCAGGTGGCCCGGGCCCCAGGTTCACGACTTGGGCACCTCGGGGTTCCTCCGCTCAGCTCTGACCTCGGGCACCCCGGGGTTTCGTGACCTGGGCACCTCGGGGCTCGACGTGCCAAGTAACATACGCATGCGGACGGCGAAAGCCACCTTCTCACTCAGGGCAACGCTCGCTCCGTCGGCAGCTGAAACTCTCACTGCCAGTGCAGCAGCCTCGGCCAGTCTGTCTGCTGCCGTGCCCCCGTCTGTTCACTTTTCTGGCGACTTCCCTTGGAGAACGTCCTGAACTTCCTGATGGGGCCGGAAGATGAGGACAGTACACTGCAAGTGGGGTTTCGTAAGTCAAATCTGACCTATCTCGTGCCACAAATCCGTGTTCTCCCCTTCAGGGCCGAAAGCTCGGCCACAATACCACTCCGTACAAGCATCGGCATTTTCGGTGGTAAAACGAATTATGCCATTAGAACCTGCTAGAGCGGACTAGAAATTGTACAGCTCCCCCTTGCTACTGTCTGCTGGGGTCCTGGGAGGCCTCCCCAAACTGAAGTTTCCAACTGCATGTTCTCGGCGAGCTCAGAATATTTGGCGATGCCACATCCTACTCGACGGAGGCGAGGGTCGCTGCTATCTTCGCCCCCGCGGGCGTCCCCGAAAAGGAAGACGGGGGCCAACTCAGAGCCCAAGCCAAAACAGTTTT